ACCTCCATATTGCTTTCCACAATGGTTGAACTAATTTACATTCCCACCAACAGTGGAAATCTCCGCATCCTCGCCAGCATTTTTTTCTTCTTGACTTTTAGACGTTGGCCATCCTAACCAGTGTGAGGTGATATCTCACTGCGGTTTTAATTTACATTTCCCTGACGCAAAATGTTACACACACTTTTTTAAAGTTAATTGACATACAATCTTATGAAGGTTTACGTGAATATTGTGGTTTCAATATCCACCCATATTCGCGATGCAGAACACCTTTCAATGTGCCTGTTTGGACATCAGTATTTCTTCTTTGGAGTAGTGTCTGTTCAGTTCCTCTGCCCATTTTTTAATCAGGTTATTTGTTTTTTGCATGTTGAGGCATGTGAGCTCTTTATATATTTTGGATGTTGACCTCTTATTGGATAAGTCATTTACGAATATATTCTCCCATACTGTAGGATGCCTTTTTGTTCTACTGATGGCGGCCTTTGCTGTAGCAAAGCTTTTCAGTTTGATGTAGTCCTACTTGTTCATTTTTTATTTTGTTTCCCTTGGCTGGGGAGATGTGTTCAGGAAAAAGTTGGTCATGTTTATATTCAAGACATTTTTGCCTATTTTTTCTTCTATGTGTCTGATGGCTTCATGACTTACATTCAGATCTTTGATCCATTTTGAGTTTACTTTTGTGTATGGGGTTAGACAATAATCCAGTTTCATAATCCAGTTTCATTCTCTTTCATGTAGCTGTCCAGTTTTGCCAACACCAGTTGTTGAAGAGGCTGTCATTTCCCCATTGTATATTCATGGCTCCTTTATGGTAAATTAATTGGCAATATATGTGTGTGGGTTTATATCTGGACTCTCTACTCTGCTCCATTGATCTGTGGGTCTGTTCTTGTGTCAGTACCAAGTTGTTTTGATTACTGTGGCTTTGTAGTAGAGCTTGAAGTTAGGGAGCATAAACCCCCAACCTTTGTTCTTCCTTCTCAGGATTGCTTTGACTATTTGGGGTCTTTTCATATGGTTCCATATGAATTTTAGAACATTTGTTCCAGTTTGTTGAAGAATGTTGTTGGTATTTTAATAGGGATTGCATTGAATCTGTAGATTCCTTTAGGCAGGATGGCCATTTTGACAATATTAATTCTTCCAATCAATGAGCATGGGGTGTATTTCCATTTATTGGTGTCTTCTTTAATTTCTCTCATGAATGTGTTGTAGTTTTCAAGTATAGGTCTTTTACCTCCTAGGTTAGGTTTACTCCTAGGTATTTTATTTTTTGTGATGCAATTGTAAATGGAATTGTTTTCCTGATTTCTCTTTCTGCTAACCCATTGTTAGTATATAGGAATGCAATGGATTTCTGTGAATTAATTTTGTATCTTGGATCTTTGCTGAATTCAGTTATTAGTTCTAAAATGTTACAAGCACTTTAAAAACCAATTTGGTAGTTTCTTACAAAGTTACACATACACTTAAAACTATTTATTACCCAACGATTCTGCTTCTGGGTAGAATCCCAGGAGAAATGTTAAGCATACATCCATAAAAAATCTGAGTGAATGTTCATAGCAGCTTTATTCTATAGCAAACCAGAAACAACCCAAATAGTAAGTCCATTAATGGGCCTTGCCCAATCTTAGCACAATGAGCACACATCCTCTGCACACATTTAGGATTCCACTATAAGTCACAGAATGTGGTGGTGTGTACATCTATTTGTGCCACCCAGGCATATCTACTATTGAACCCACTGGCAGGGCTTCCAAGTGGCACAACTCCGGTGGCAGCTTCGTACATGGGCACACGTGTGCAGACCATGTGCAACCAGAGAAATGGTCTTCCATACTGCTCCATGGAACAAACACTGAAACTCTCACTCAGACACACACAGAGACAAATGCAGCGTACACATACACTGCCATGTACAGGAGTGCTCTGGGACACAAACACATGCTTATGCACACACAGGTCTTACCCAGCCCAGCCCAGCCCCAGAGCTATTCTGGGCCAGGCCTGGGGCCAACAAGGTCAGAGACTGCCAGTTCCCAGCAGGCCCCAGCCTCTGTTGTCATAGGCCTAGCCTGCCCAGCCCCCACCCTCAGCCCAGGCTAAGTCCAAGATGCCCTAATCCCAGCTGGGCTTTGTGACTGGGGGGACCCTCACCCCTTATACCCTGCTTCCCCAGAGCTGGACCTTGAGCCCTGGTATTTCAGGCTGCATGACAGAACTGTCCACAGGTTCCTTTGGCCATTGCCAACTGACTGCCCATGGCTTTCAACACAAAGGCTCTGGAAGCTGGACTGGGTCCCCACAGGAAACCCACAGGAGCTAAAAATAGTGAACAACAGACAAACAGGGTCCCGCAGGCCAACTTTCATGCCACCATGCATGGAGGGGACATTGTCTTCCAGGGGAGCCAGCCTCGGGGTCCAGAACTCCACCACCCCAGACCTGACGGACCCAACTGGTGGTAAGGCCTAGGGAGATAAAGGGACCTCATGAGAAATAGAAACAGTACTGGATAGTGGGAGACCCCTGAGTTAGGGGCCAAAGACTGTGTTTGAGGCCCCAGTTCCTGTGTGACCTTGGGCATGGCACAAACCCTCTCTGGGCCTCAATCCTTCATGAGGACATAAGGGAAAGGAAGCAAAGCCCTGAAAGGTAGAAGAGACTTTAGCTCTCTGGATGTTCCTCTCACTACGATGTTTAACACTGGAGAACTGGAAACAGAGCTAACATTCAACACTAGGGCATTGACTGAATAAGGTATTTTGCAGTTTGTATTCAGTGTAATTTAACAGCTGCCTTTAACAGCAATCGTAACGGCTCACAGTCACTGAAGGTTTGGGATTTGCAGGCATCATGACACTGTAGTTATTACTATTGCACAGAGCAGGGATTGAAACTCAGAGAGGTTAAGTAGCCCAATGAGGGCTCATAGCGGTCAATATGATGTGCCCTACAAGTCTTGGTTATAAGCCTTAATAATTCTAGAAGCTATAAAGTATAAAACTACAAATTTACAGGAAATATTATTTGAAAGTTTATTTACTTGAATTTTCTAACATAATTTTGTGAATTTTGGATAATAACTAATTTTTTCAGTCAAATTTTGCCATCTTCAGAGGGCAAAAAAGGAAATTTACATAAACTTTTAAGTGGTGTTTCTTATAAACTTGTAACTTCATACTTCTGAGGTCATAAAAGCTTAAAACTGCCCTATAATTTTCAGGACACCCTGTTATTTTAAGTCGGTTTGACATCAAAGCCAGTATAGGACAGCGCATTTGGAAGAAAGGGGCAGATCTAGGATGCTTGTGCTGCTGAAAAGGTGTGTTAAATGGCATCCAGTGAGATCTCAGCTATGTTCAAGGGCCTGTAGAGGAGTGAAAGCCACATGCAACAGCGGCTGTCTCAGGGGACGATGCAAGTACATGATTGTATTTATTCCCTTTCAGATTTCACCAGGGGGCTGGCCCCACTTCACGGAGGGAAAGACGATGAACTTTACCGGCAACGATGACACCCTTCCCATCCTTGACTGAGCCGTCCCATCAGGGAGAGCCAGAATTGTACTCAGCAGTCCTATAATGATTAGTTCACAAAATCCTGCCATCAGCCCTGTGGTGAGAATCTTGTCCTCTGCGTTCCATAGGTGAGGAAATCAAAGCAGAGAGGAGTAATGGTTTGTCCAAGGCCACTGTCAGGCTCATTAACCGCAGCCCAGTCCAGCCAAGACCTCTCTGACCCCATGTGCCCAGGGTGACTTCCCTGGCTGGTCAGTGTGGCTTCCCCAGCCTGGCCCATGACAGATGGCATGAGGAAATGGGAAGCAGAGAGCTACAGCCAAGTGATTTGGGCTTTAGTGGGATTCCTGTTTGCTTGGCCAGACCAAGCCTGGGGAAGATGGGGTGGCCCACCCCCGACACTTTGCCATACACTGTCAACGTTCTCTTCAGTGGGTCCTTTAAGCGAGCTGTCCTCTGCCAGGGGCTCTCTTGTTTTCCTGCCTGCCCTGTCATCTCCCAGCCCTGATGCCTGCAGCTGTCACACTGGCCCCCTGCTCTCTGCTGCAGACTGCCTTGGTCCTTGCCCATCTGGGGCACTCCAGGCAGGAGCCCCATGAGGCTCTGGATCTACAGGGTCCCCAGTCTGTGCCCCAGGGCACTCTAGCCTACACAGTTCCCTGCTGATGAGGAATGCAGGGGTCTGACATGGCTGCTTCCCCAGCATTCAGCAGGAAGGAGATAAATAATAACGGAAGAAAGGGAAGAGAAGGGTGAAAGGAGGATGGGCCAGAGAAGGCTCCCCACCCCAGGCCTCCCATTCTCCTAAAGTCCTCCCCAGGCCTCCACAGCTCCTCAGATCCTCTCTGCCTCCATCCCCGGATCGTCAAGACCTACTGCGGGGCCAAGTTCAGTGTAAGGTTAGGGACATGGCTCAGACTGGAACAAGAAGCAGGGCTCAGGCTGGGGCAGAGGCTGAGAGTCAGCCAGAGTTAGAAAATGGTTCACCAGCCCTTCCAGGAGGAAGCCCACCCTGTCCCATGGGGCAGCAGATGCTGGCTCCTTCAGAACCTTCCATAGCACCCACAGCTGGCAGCTCTGACAATACCACCCCCTGCTCCCCATCCCTGCCTCCAGCTCTAGTGTCCAAGATGACCAGAGCTGCTTCTGGGCAGGAAGCCAGCCCAGAAAGCCCAGGACATGCCTGGGCGCCTGTCACCATGGCAACCTGGCTGTCATGCCTCCCCTAACCTGGGTCCAGTATGGTTTTTCAAATTTAGAACGTCAGAATGGGAAGGGCCTCCTAGATCAGCAGATTCCAGCCCCTCCCCTTGTCCCAGGTGGAATAACTGAGGCCCGAGGGGGGGAAGAGGGGCGGAGCGGAGACCGGTTGTTCAGGATCTGACCCCGCCTGTCCTCCTTCCCACCCACTCCCGCCCTAAGTCCCTCCTGGCCAGTGAGGGGAGGAGGGAAGTCAGGAGTCAATCTTACCAGGGGCGGGGCGGGCCTCCGCAGCAGTGATGGGGGCGGGCGGCCCAGGAACCAGACACCGAGGACGAATAAGTGATGCTCACTCGCACGCAGCCTGCGACCAGATCGCCACCGCCGAAGGCCGGCGGGCCTGGGCCAGTCCCAGGGCCAACCCGGCCAGCGGCATCGCTCCGTTCCCCGGACCTGCTGCCGAGCCGAGCGTGACGATGGCGCAGCACTGGCGAGGCGCGGAGCCCCGCTGGTCACTGGGCGGCGCCGTGCTGGGGGTTTGTCTCGCGGGGGTCGCCGGGCAGCTGGTGGAGGTGAGGCAGGGCGGCGCAGAGGGGCTTGGGGTGGCTGTCAAACCGTCCAGGTGGAGGGTTACGGGACCTCTTTCAGCTGGCTGACCCCTTTCTATTGCCCCAGGAGACTTGGTTTAATAGGGTGCCATAGCCCTGCCCCAAGCTTCCAGGCTGTGGGGGAGACTCAGCCCCCAATCTTGGGACCGATCTCTGGTTTGATGAGAGGGCACAGCCCCTGGTTTCAAAAACATTAGTCTGATTGGGGAGACTCACCCTGATTTTAGGAACTCCCAGTCTTGGAATCCAGCCTGGCCTAGGCTGATGGGGAATACTCAGCCCCTGTCCTCTAGTCTGTGGTCTAACGGGAGCCAGGTGGAGGCACGGTCCTTGGTTTCAGTGGTCCCTAGACTGATGGGGGAGATCTAGTCCCGGATCTTAGGGTCTGCTGGAGGAAAGAGCTTCCACTCCACGAGATTTTCCAGGGTCCCTGTCTAATGGAGGAGACATAGCCTTGGGAAGGAGGTGAGGGCGTCCCAAGCAGGAGGGTGGGGACAGGGAGACGAGGAGACCCTTTACAGAGCAGCCAGTGTTGAGTCTGACTCCACGCAGAGCACTAGGCCCTGGAGGGGAGGGGCAGGCAGGACAGGACCCAGGGATTCCGAGATCTTGCCTGGCCCTGGTGATAACGGGGAGCTAGCAAAGGTTTCTGATCAGGGAGTCACAATGAGCCTTGGTTTGGAAAGAGAATGAATTGGAATATGGCACATGGTTGGGAAAACTGGAAGAGCTGCTGAGATAGCCCAGGAAGAGGGGGGAAAGACGGCTGGGGTGGCTGGCCAGGAGCCTGGCTGGGAAAGAGCTGGGAGGGCAAGGGTAGGTGCTGTCTGCAGCCTCCCTGGCCCCTCTGTATCCCATTCCTGCTGAGTGGGGAAGGGGAGCCAAAGAGGCAGATCTGACCTGGAATTCTGGAGCATGAAGCCAAAGGGAGAAGGCCCAAGAGGCAGACCCAGGGAGGAGTTGGGGACAGACCCTGTGCAGGCAGGGGCAGAATAGAGAGCAGGAGAACGGAAATGCAGGAGATAGCCAGGCAGTCCAGAGAGCCCTCAAGAGGTAGGTGCTAAGGACAGGATGGGAGAGGGAGGACAAAGCCTTATCCTGGGGGACTGAGGGGTGCAGCCCTGAACTAGAAGGTCTTAGGGACATGAGGACAGAGCCACGCACCATGGTGTTAGCCTGACTGTGCTGCTGACCATGGGGTTTGATCAGAAGTCTGGGCTGGAGTCAGATGTCAGCTCCAGTGTCCCTGTAAGTGGAGCCAGGCTGGCTCAAGCCCCAAGAGAGCCCCAAGGGGTGTACTTGGGCCTCTCACCAGCTGCCCTGAGGTCTCAGGTGCAGAAACCGAGCTGGCCTGGGTGCAGGAGAAGGCTGAGGGTGGGAGCTGGAGTCAGTTCTGAGCCAAGGACTCTTTCCCCTGGACCCTAGGAACACCTCTTCTCCCAGCTCATCAAGGGAAACTGCATTGGAGTCATCTTCCTGCCATCTACCTACAGCCTAAGCAAGGGCTTGGCTGAGCCTGGGGGATCCAGGGAAGCACCAGAAAGATGGCCATGGCTCGAATCCATGGTACCCACCCACTCCAGCCCTGCCGCCATCATCCTCCATCACGTTGTAGGCTCTGATGGAGGCTGGGGCCTCCATGCCTCAGAGTTCAGATCCCCAGGAGATACCAAACTTGTTGCCCTCTATCCAAGACCCCTGTGGGGATGAGAGTATAAGCCTCCAAGCAAACCCGCCATAAATAGTGCTTGGCCAGGCTCAGAGTCTGAGATGCTTACTTGTCCTTCTGAGTGTTCCAGACACACAACCCAGACAAGGCCAACACACTGAGCCTTAGAATCAGGGACCCCTGCCATTGCCCAGGCCATGGCCCTGACTTTACAGATGTGTGCCCAACCACATGCACATGTACTCCAACCACACGTGCCCTGTACCCACAAATACGTGCCCCAATCCCACACATATGTGCCTGTTCCCACACATATTCCTCAACCCCACATACATGTCTGACCCCACAAAAGGATCCAGGTTCCTGGGGTGATACTGAGGAAGGGAGTCATCTTGTCAATTTTACCACTTGGGTTGGGTAAAGAGAGCTTCCCAGAGACCCTGAAATTACCCCACTCATTACAGGTAGAGAAACTGAGGCCTAGAGAAAAGAGGGCTCCCACCCAAATTCACCCTGGTTAAGAGAAATGAGCCAGGGAATCATGTACCAATCCCTGGCACACAGATCCTCTGGGTTACCTGGGACCAACTGCTGATCCTCTCTCCAAATGTCATGCTGAGCATACCCAATACAGACTGACAAGTGTTCATGAGCTGAGGAAGTACGTGGCTTGTGGTAGGTGCCCAATCCATGCTTATGGAATAGGGGAAAGCCTGGACAGATGGTTATGCTGTGGGTTACCTTTCCTTCCCAGAGAGCCAGAGGAGACTCCTCATGTCTGTCCCTGTTCTGTGGGACAATGTGCCGCACAGATCTGAGCGCTAACTTGCCGCCACATCCTTCAGCCAAACTTGGTGACAGAGATAGGGTCATATCTTCTCAACCCCACAGGACAGGGGCAGGTCTTCCTCAGACCCACCAGAGCAGGGCCATGTCCACTTAGACCCCAGGGCTGGGCCATGGTGTCCCCCCAGAAAGCGGGAGGGGGCCGCGGCTACGCTCTCCTCAGGCCTGCTCCAGCCATGCTCGCATTTTTTGGCCTCCAGGTGTCGCTGTGGAATTGCGAACAAACGTCCTTGTCCTGGGAGAACTCCGGCCTAGACTTTGGGTGGGAGGAGGTGCCTCCCATAGGATAGGCAGCTGTTGAGCCATCTGGTAGGGGTCCTGGTCGGGCCACAGAACCACAGGGCCCTGACTCAGCTCTACACCACACCCACACCCCACACTGGGGATACCTGAAAGCAAAGTCCCCTAGGGCTGCAAGGGCCTCACCTGTCTCTCACTTTGGTCCTGAGACTCCATCTTCTGCTTGAGGTGCAGGACTGGAGCAGGAGGAAAGAACTGCAGGCTGCCTGCAGGGGCCCTGAATCTGACTAGGGCAGGCCTTCAAGGCCTGCCCCTTCCAGCCCTGGTTGCCCCAAGCATCACCCACCCTGGCACTCCAAGTCCCTGGCTCCACAGTTCTCGGGTTCCACTCTTCTCTTGTCCTAAATCTGGCACTTCCCAAGGTCTAGAGCATTGCTTGTGAAAGCCTAAGACACTTAATTCTAGAAGAATCTAAAATCTTGGGCTGAGTCCTTGCTGAGACCTGGGTCTTTCAGCCCAGTCCCAGACCCTGGCTCATTCCCCTCTCTCCTGACCCACAGCCCAGCACGGCCCCGCCCAAGCCTAAGCCGCCCCCGCTGACCAAGGAGACCGTGGTGTTCTGGGACATGCGCCTGTGGCACGTGGTGGGCATCTTCTCACTCTTCGTGTTGTCCATCAGTGAGTAGTGGCTCTGGCCCTTCCCATCACACTGAAATGGGCATACAGCACCTGCTCCCCCAGCACCACCCCAGGGGCTCAGAGCAGCAATTCCGGGCAGTGCAAGCAGGCCCGGCGCCTGCAGGAGACCCACTGTGCTTTCTGGCACCTCCCAATCCACACAAAGTCCCTGTGGAGGGCTGACAGGCCAGTGGTTACCTGAAGTATTCTGTAAACTGGGGATGCAGCCTCATGGCAATTATGGTAATTACAGGGGGTTCCACTGTACCAGGGTGAGGACGTGTCATTTTTCCCTACTGCTGGCCTTCTGATGCTTTACCTGCAGTTTGGCCAGCTTAAAAGGCCCACACCCAGGGGCCCCAGCAAGGCCTACAGGCTCCCCAGACCCCCAGCAGAGTGGCTCCCAGACTGCAAACCGTGCCTTGTCAAATGCCATTTCCCCCGAATGACACACCCATCTCAATTAAAAGCAGGAGGCCCCTTCCTCTCCTGGGACTGGAAGTCACTTGATGCAGTCGGAACAGAAATGGGCTTCATATGCTCTCTTTAATCATCCTTCCAGAATAGGGGTCTGGAGTTAAGGAAAAGAGGCAAAGAAATGTAGGTTGACTGGAAGAAGCTGCCAGGGTACAGAGTCTGACAGAGGCTCTACAGGCCAAGGGCTAGGAGCGCACAGGTAGTGAAAGAGAAGAACCCTCCCACACACACTCCACCCTCAAAGGCATCACAGGTGAGGGTCCTCTGAGCTGCAGATCTGTTTTGGCAGGTGCAGCTGGAAAAGTCATTCCAGGCAGAGGCGGGAGGAAACAGCCTCCACCCAGCTCTCAGACAACCCTTCTAGGACGTCCACTGAAAGCACGCCGGCTCAGAGAGCTAGAGCGGCATTTAAGTTCTAGCTGGGGCAGTCCTGGGATGAGGTCCCTGGGAGGGCAGGTCTTCCACAGAGGGCCTATCCAGATGCGGGCGCCCCAAGGGAAACAGGACATATGATTTGCATGTGCTTCTCCTGGCACCAGAAGTGCCACACACCCCAACACCATTTCTTCATGACTGGGATGGGAACAGGATCTGAGCAAGAGGCTGCATTTTTTTCCTAGCCAAGGCTTCTCAATGGACGCCCCACAGACAGGGGTGGCTGCAGCCCAGCTCACATGTCCAGTGAAGGGAACAACCCCGAGCACCAAGAGGCAGGGTTGGAGGAAACATCTGCCCTGCAGGGGCCACAGGAGCAGTATGAGGTGCAGGTCCAGGGAGCAGCCCTGGGGTGCCCCAGGGAACAGAGGTGACGGCACTGTGGGGTCTCTTCCAGACTCTGCTCTGTCCCACATGGTGGAAGTGTGTGGGGCCACCAGACAGTTGCAGTGTCAGACCTGGAGGGACTTGGACCTCCACCACAGACCGACTCCTACTCCTAACTCTAACCCCATTCCTAGAAAAGGGTAAGGGATGGTTTCAAAGGCTTCTGAGCAGCGGGTCAACTTTTGTTACTTTCCATGCAGGGCTCTAGGAAGCAGGTAGTGAACAGCCCCATTTCCTGAGTAGGAAACATCCTTCCAGCTTCCCAGCCCACTTGGGCCTAGGGACCAGATGAGCATCACCCCTAGAACCTTGGGCAGAGGGGCCAGGCCTGGCTGGGGTGCCTCTAGAGGTCTCCTCCAGCCCAGGGACTCACATCCCAAGCCCCTGCCGAGGCCCTGGAGCTCAATCCAAGGCACACCATTCTTTTCTTTGAGAAGACGCAACCAGGCCAGGCTGGATGGAGCAGACCTAGAGTGAGGAGCAGTGTCTGAGCTCTGCTCTGCCAGTAGTTGCCTGCTGAGCTCCCTTTGAAGCCCAGGCCTCCCCGAGTCTAGGACCAATCTTTGTGGAGCCTGAGTGGGCATTGCCCTGAGGACATGCCTGGTGGGTAGCTGGAAGAGGTGGCCCAAGCCAGTAGGGTCAGATGAAGGACCAACCTTGGTCTTCAGACACACAGGGATCTGGAAAAGACCAAAACCTAACTCAGTGGGTAAGAAGTATTCTGCCCAACTGGGGATGCAGCCACATGGCAATCACAGCGATTACAGGGGGCTCCACTATACGAGGGCGAGGATGTGTCATTTTTCCCTATCGCTGGCCTCCTGATGCTTTTCCTGCACTTCTACCCCTGAACAGCAGTGTAGTCAGACCTTCTGCTGGGGCCCTTGTGCAGCACCCCCCAGCGTATTCCTGGATGCTGTTAGCTCCCCCATCCATCCATTTGGGAGTCCAGTCCTGTCCTCAGCAGTAAAGGCTTTAATGAAATTACCCCACTCATTACAGGTAGAGAAACTGAGGCCTAGAGAAAAGAGGGCTCCCACCCAAATTCACCCTGGTTAAGAGAAATGAGCCAGGGAATCATGTACCAATCCCTGGCACACAGATCCTCTGGGTTACCTGGGACCAACTGCTGATCCTCTCTCCAAATGTCATGCTGAGCATACCCAATACAGACTGACAAGTGTTCATGAGCTGAGGAAGTACGTGGCTTGTGGTAGGTGCCCAATCCATGCTTATGGAATAGGGGAAAGCCTGGACAGATGGTTATGCTGTGGGTTACCTTTCCTTCCCAGAGAGCCAGAGGAGACTCCTCATGTCTGTCCCTGTTCTGTGGGACAATGTGCCGCACAGATCTGAGCGCTAACTTGCCGCCACATCCTTCAGCCAAACTTGGTGACAGAGATAGGGTCATATCTTCTCAACCCCACAGGACAGGGACAGGTCTTCCTCAGACCCACCAGAGCAGGGCCATGTCCACTTAGACCCCAGGGCTGGGCCATGGTGTCCCCCCAGAAAGCGGGAGGGGGCCGCGGCTACGCTCTCCTCAGGCCTGCTCCAGCCATGCTCGCATTTTTTGGCCTCCAGGTGTCGCTGTGGAATTGCGAACAAACGTCCTTGTCCTGGGAGAACTCCGGCCTAGACTTTGGGTGGGAGGAGGTGCCTCCCATAGGATAGGCAGCTGTTGAGCCATCTGGTAGGGGTCCTGGTCGGGCCACAGAACCACAGGGCCCTGACTCAGCTCTACACCACACCCACACCCCACACTGGGGATACCTGAAAGCAAAGTCCCCTAGGGCTGCAAGGGCCTCACCTGATCTCTCACTTTGGTCCTGAGACTCCATCTTCTGCTTGAGGTGCAGGACTGGAGCAGGAGGAAAGAACTGCAGGCTGCCTGCAGGGGCCCTGAATCTGACTAGGGCAGGCCTTCAAGGCCTGCCCCTTCCAGCCCTGGTTGCCCCAAGCATCACCCACCCTGGCACTCCAAGTCCCTGGCTCCACAGTTCTCGGGTTCCACTCTTCTCTTGTCCTAAATCTGGCACTTCCCAAGGTCTAGAGCATTGCTTGTGAAAGCCTAAGACACTTAATTCTAGAAGAATCTAAAATCTTGGGCTGAGTCCTTGCTGAGACCTGGGTCTTTCAGCCCAGTCCCAGACCCTGGCTCATTCCCCTCTCTCCTGACCCACAGCCCAGCACGGCCCCGCCCAAGCCTAAGCCGCCCCCGCTGACCAAGGAGACCGTGGTGTTCTGGGACATGCGCCTGTGGCACGTGGTGGGCATCTTCTCACTCTTCGTGTTGTCCATCAGTGAGTAGTGGCTCTGGCCCTTCCCATCACACTGAAATGGGCATACAGCACCTGCCCTGCTCCCCCAGCACCACCCCAGGGGCTCAGAGCAGCAATTCCGGGCAGTGCAAGCAGGCCCGGCGCCTGCAGGAGACCCACTGTGCTTTCTGGCACCTCCCAATCCACACAAAGTCCCTGTGGAGGGCTGACAGGCCAGTGGTTACCTGAAGTATTCTGTAAACTGGGGATGCAGCCTCATGGCAATTATGGTAATTACAGGGGGTTCCACTGTACCAGGGTGAGGACGTGTCATTTTTCCCTACTGCTGGCCTTCTGATGCTTTACCTGCAGTTTGGCCAGCTTAAAAGGCCCACACCCAGGGGCCCCAGCAAGGCCTACAGGCTCCCCAGACCCCCAGCAGAGTGGCTCCCAGACTGCAAACCGTGCCTTGTCAAATGCCATTTCCCCCGAATGACACACCCATCTCAATTAAAAGCAGGAGGCCCCTTCCTCTCCTGGGACTGGAAGTCACTTGATGCAGTCGGAACAGAAATGGGCTTCATATGCTCTCTTTAATCATCCTTCCAGAATAGGGGTCTGGAGTTAAGGAAAAGAGGCAAAGAAATGTAGGTTGACTGGAAGAAGCTGCCAGGGTACAGAGTCTGACAGAGGCTCTACAGGCCAAGGGCTAGGAGCGCACAGGTAGTGAAAGAGAAGAACCCTCCCACACACACTCCACCCTCAAAGGCATCACAGGTGAGGGTCCTCTGAGCTGCAGATCTGTTTTGGCAGGTGCAGCTGGAAAAGTCATTCCAGGCAGAGGCGGGAGGAAACAGCCTCCACCCAGCTCTCAGACAACCCTTCTAGGACGTCCACTGAAAGCACGCCGGCTCAGAGAGCTAGAGCGGCATTTAAGTTCTAGCTGGGGCAGTCCTGGGATGAGGTCCCTGGGAGGGCAGGTCTTCCACAGAGGGCCTATCCAGATGCGGGCGCCCCAAGGGAAACAGGACATATGATTTGCATGTGCTTCTCCTGGCACCAGAAGTGCCACACACCCCAACACCATTTCTTCATGACTGGGATGGGAACAGGATCTGAGCAAGAGGCTGCATTTTTTTCCTAGCCAAGGCTTCTCAATGGACGCCCCACAGACAGGGGTGGCTGCAGCCCAGCTCACATGTCCAGTGAAGGGAACAACCCCGAGCACCAAGAGGCAGGGTTGGAGGAAACATCTGCCCTGCAGGGGCCACAGGAGCAGTATGAGGTGCAGGTCCAGGGAGCAGCCCTGGGGTGCCCCAGGGAACAGAGGTGACGGCACTGTGGGGTCTCTTCCAGACTCTGCTCTGTCCCACATGGTGGAAGTGTGTGGGGCCACCAGACAGTTGCAGTGTCAGACCTGGAGGGACTTGGACCTCCACCACAGACCGACTCCTACTCCTAACTCTAACCCCATTCCTAGAAAAGGGTAAGGGATGGTTTCAAAGGCTTCTGAGCAGCGGGTCAACTTTTGTTACTTTCCATGCAGGGCTCTAGGAAGCAGGTAGTGAACAGCCCCATTTCCTGAGTAGGAAACATCCTTCCAGCTTCCCAGCCCACTTGGGCCTAGGGACCAGATGAGCATCACCCCTAGAACCTTGGGCAGAGGGGCCAGGCCTGGCTGGGGTGCCTCTAGAGGTCTCCTCCAGCCCAGGGACTCACATCCCAAGCCCCTGCCGAGGCCCTGGAGCTCAATCCAAGGCACACCATTCTTTTCTTTGAGAAGACGCAACCAGGCCAGGCTGGATGGAGCAGACCTAGAGTGAGGAGCAGTGTCTGAGCTCTGCTCTGCCAGTAGTTGCCTGCTGAGCTCCCTTTGAAGCCCAGGCCTCCCCGAGTCTAGGACCAATCTTTGTGGAGCCTGAGTGGGCATTGCCCTGAGGACATGCCTGGTGGGTAGCTGGAAGAGGTGGCCCAAGCCAGTAGGGTCAGATGAAGGACCAACCTTGGTCTTCAGACACACAGGGATCTGGAAAAGACCAAAACCTAACTCAGTGGGTAAGAAGTATTCTGCCCAACTGGGGATGCAGCCACATGGCAATCACGGCGATTACAGGGGGCTCCACTATACGAGGGCGAGGATGTGTCATTTTTCCCTATCGCTGGCCTCCTGATGCTTTTCCTGCACTTCTACCCCTGAACAGCAGTGTAGTCAGACCTTCTGCTGGGGCCCTTGTGCAGCACCCCCCAGCGTATTCCTGGATGCTGTTAGCTCCCCCATCCATCCATTTGGGAGTCCAGTCCTGTCCTCAGCAGTAAAGGCTTTATAGCCACTCATTAATTAATTAATTAATTAATTTCTCTGAGTCTGGTGAGACTCTATAGGGCCATGATATTTGGCTGAGAAGAGTTATACGAGAATGACCCCAGAGGGTCCTCCATCTCAGGCCATATAGGTCTGATCCATGTTCCCCAAAACAGGCCTGGTTTGTCCTGCTTGGCCCTCCTGCCCCCAAGAGTCTTCCAGGAAGTTATGACCTGTCACTTGATTTATAATAGGAAGCAGCCCCATTCCCTCCTCTGAGGTTGGGGCCAAGGTGGTCAGACTGTGGGGGCCTTAGAAAAATATACTCAGCCCAGCCAGGTCCTGCAGCCCTGCCCTGCCCATCCACAGACAGGCCAGCCCCATGTCCTGGCCCAGCCTGCATGGGCACAGCTGTCCTCAGCCAGAAAACCACTCCTGGAATAACTGAGGTGAACCCCCCAGAGCAGGGTCTGTGCCCTCTCATGGGCTCTTGCAACCAGGAGGCACCCAGGCTTGTCCTCGAGGAGGCTGGAGAGGATGCAGCCGTGTCCTCTGGCATCTGGGGTCCTCTCAGAAGCCTGGGGGCCCAGGATGCACTGCCCAGGAAAGCCTCCAGAAGCTGCAGCTTGAGTCACAGCACAGCCTCTGCCCTTTCCTCCAGAGATCTGCCAAATAGTCAGAGACCCTCCAGACTGGGCCAGCAGCATGATTTATGGGGCCAGTGCAAAATGAAAATATAAGGCCCCTTGTTCAAAGATTATTAACAACAGTGACAGCAGAGCATTAAGCCAAGCACAAGGCCCTTCTAAGAGTGGGCCCAGTAATGGTATGAAGCCAGCCCTGTTCAGGAAAGGTATCTGGGAAGAGCCCACACAGGTTTTGTCAAGACATGGAGCTTCCTGCCAGTCTCTTGGGTGAGACACTCATAGGTAGATGGACGTGGGCCTGAAGTTGGGTACCATTCCTGGGCTGTCTGAGCTCTGGCCTCAGCCAAGCCTGCTCTGTCTTCCCTACAGTAATCACTCTATGCTGTGTCTTCAACTGTCGCGTGCCACGGACCCGGAAGGAGATTGAAGCCCGGTACCTGCAGCGAAAGGCAGCCAAGATGTACACAGACAAACTGGAGACTGTGCCCCCACTCAATGAGCTCACAGAAATCCCTGGAGGTGAACCAGCTCAAGCCCCCACCCCCGCCACCCTCCTGACCCTGCTGGGCCAGCCAGTTCCTTGGTCCACCCAGAGCCTCCCTATTCCTCCCCTACACCAATGGCAGGCTCAGGGAGCAGACCCAGCCTGTCCCTGAGACAAGAGCACAGAAATGGGTCAGAGTGAGGCAGGTAAAACAAGGAGCTATTCTGCAGATAGAAGAGGTCTGAGAGGAAGGAAGAAATGAAGGGCTGGACATGGGAGGCTCTGATGTGGGTCCCACAACCCTGTTTCACTCCCATCACATACCTCTTTCCTCTACCCCACAGAGGATAAGAAGAAGAAGAAGAAGAAGGACAGTGTGGATACAGTGGCCATCAAGGTAGAGGAAGATGAGATGAATGAGGCCAAGAAGAAAAAAGGAAAGAAATGAGGAGAGCTTCCTGGAGGCAGCAGCTAAGGCTGGTAGGCCTTAGGGCTCAAGTCCTGGACAGGGTCCAGGAATTTTAGACTCCAAGTTCACACATGGACCAAAGAGGTTGCAGGACATCCTCTGCCTGCTCCACAGGGGCTTCTGAGGGCCCATGGCCATGCCCTTAGAGCCCATCGGGGGCAGGGACAAGATACACCAGATGTCCTACCTCCCAGCCTAGACTCCATTCCTGTCAGCCCTCCCATGTGGCCACCTAGCAAAGTTGGCATGGACCACTGTCTCTGTGCAGATTCAGAATGGCCTCACACCCACCCGGACATGCCAGGAACAGCAGTGGCTCTAAAGGACATATATTTCCCTTCGGGAAGGGGGTAGTTGGACTGAATGGGCTGGAGTGGGAGGCCACATCCAGGCTGGCCAAGGAGGGAGAGGGTCACTGGAGGCAGCTGTGGCAGTAGGAGGTTCTCAGACCTGGCTAGATAGCAGCCCTGGTGAAGGGACTGCCCCAAGCCTGGCAGGGGTTCTGGCCTAGGGGGGTGTGAGCTTTTCCCCAAGCCAAGCAGATACCAAGCTCCAAGCAATGGGATGCACTTGTTTCACATGCTCTGAGTAGCAAGGGGCCTGGAGGAGAAGAGAAGAAAGCTGGCACCCAGGCCTAATCTTTGGAATCCAGGGAATACTTGAAAAGACAAGGGGAACCATGAGCTGTTCCATGGCCCTTTTTATGCTCAGCTGCGGTGGAGTGTCAGGACCCTAGAGGATCACCACAGGGGGCAGTTAGGGATGGAGGCTGCAACCAGCCTCTCATCTGCACAGCTTCCTTGTCTACACTCTCAGCTATGGGCCTCAAAATGGCACTGCCGGCCAGAAGCCGAAGACCCAAAGGCCATCTGGGACTGATCCTTGGGAAGATGTGCACAGAGGGGCTCCAGAAGGCAGTGAATGTCAGCTGAGGTACTCAGACCTGGCCTGGAGACTAAGAAGACAAGAGAGTAGGCTTCTGAACCAGAGGAGCTGCTGGAAAAGCTCACACTGCTTCACAGCCTCCAGAGATTCATAAATAAAGCTGAGTGCCTTCTCATACCTGAGTGGCCTGAAAAGACCCCTCAGGAGGCCCCATCCCTAGGGCATTTATGCAGAGGGGATGCAATTGGTGACACGTGGCACAGGCCAGGGTGAAGTTCCCTTCCCTGACTTCCCTCCCAGCCTGAATTAGGAGGAGCTGGAGGGAGAAATGGTAGCTAAGGCAGAGGGGTAGCTGCATCCAGCTGGGCACAGCCTCAGGCTGGGCATCAGGACCAGGGAGGAATCTGCCAGTCCCCCACCCCCCCCACCGCACCCCGTGGCTTTCAATCGGCCTGCAATGGTCTAACCCAGTGCTGTGGACACAGAGGAGTTACACCTGGATCCTGATCCTCACCTGGATCATTACTATATAAGGGGAGGGATCCAGAATCAGACGGGGTAAGGCGTACAGGGTCTCAGAGCAGTGAAGGGGCAGAGACAGCAGAAGGTCCACCTGGGGAAGCTGAGCACTCACTTTACCACTAGCCAGAAACCCTGACTCTGCCCTCCGGGCTCAGCCTATGGGCTTCTCATACAGAGAAGCTGTGGCAAGGGTCATTCTACCCATACTGGCAGGAGTCCTCCTGTGTGGCCAGGCCACAGAGACCCAGAGGGGCAGGGGGCACTTGAAGTAAAACAGAAAAAGCTGGCAAACCCTGGGGAAAATCCAGTCCTGGGATCCATCTGCCCTGATAGCTGCCTGCCTGACCTCTGACCTGGGGCCTCCACTAGCCATTTATGCACAGGGATGGCTGCTGATCGTGGGGATAATGTCCCGTCCTAGTGGGCACCTGCCCCAGTCTCCAGGCAGGGCTGGGAGGTCAAAGGTCACTATGGTGCTTCAGGGCAATGATAGTATGTTCAAGCTGCCAGTAGGGAAACATGTCAAAGTCCAGGAGAGCCTGACTCCCACTAAAGTATCACAAAAAGCGACAGAGCTACTCTGATGTGGGTCCCACAACCCTGTTTCACTCCCATCACATACCTCTTTCCTCTACCCCACAGAGGATAAGAAGAAGAAGAAGAAGAAGGACAGTGTGGATACAGTGGCCATCAAGGTAGAGGAAGATGAGATGAATGAGGCCAAGAAGAAAAAAGGAAAGAAATGAGGAGAGCTTCCTGGAGGCAGCAGCTAAGGCTGGTAGGCCTTAGGGCTCAAGTCCTGGACAGGGTCCAGGAATTTTAGACTCCAAGTTCACACATGGACCAAAGAGGTTGCAGGACATCCTCTGCCTGCTCCACAGGGGCTTCTGAGGGCCCATGGCCATGCCCTTAGAGCCCATCGGGGGCAGGGACAAGATACACCAGATGTCCTACCTCCCAGCCTAGACTCCATTCCTGTCAGCCCTCCCATGTGGCCACCTAGCAAAGTTGGCATGGACCACTGTCTCTGTGCAGATTCAGAATGGCCTCACACCCACCCGGACATGCCAGGAACAGCAGTGGCTCTAAAGGACATATATTTCCCTTCGGGAAGGGGGTAGTTGGACTGAATGGGCTGGAGTGGGAGGCCACATCCAGGCTGGCCAAGGAGGGAGAGGGTCACTGGAGGCAGCTGTGGCAGTAGGAGGTTCTCAGACCTGGCTAGATAGCAGCCCTGGTGAAGGGACTGCCCCAAGCCTGGCAGGGGTTCTGGCCTAGGGGGGTGTGAGCTTTTCCCCAAGCCAAGCAGATACCAAGCTCCAAGCAATGGGATGCACTTGTTTCACATGCTCTGAGTAGCAAGGGGCCTGGAGGAGAAGAGAAGAAAGCTGGCACCCAGGCCTAATCTTTGGAATCCAGGGAATACTTGAAAAGACAAGGGGAACCATGAGCTGTTCCATGGCCCTTTTTATGCTCAGCTGCGGTGGAGTGTCAGGACCCTAGAGGATCACCACAGGGGGCAGTTAGGGATGGAGGCTGCAACCAGCCTCTCATCTGCACAGCTTCCTTGTCTACACTCTCAGCTATGGGCCTCAAAATGGCACTGCCGGCCAGAAGCCGAAGACCCAAAGGCCATCTGGGACTGATCCTTGGGAAGATGTGCACAGAGGGGCTCCAGAAGGCAGTGAATGTCAGCTGAGGTACTCAGACCTGGCCTGGAGACTAAGAAGACAAGAGAGTAGGCTTCTGAACCAGAGGAGCTGCTGGAAAAGCTCACACTGCTTCACAGCCTCCAGAGATTCATAAATAAAGCTGAGTGCCTTCTCATACCTGAGTGGCCTGAAAAGACCCCTCAGGAGGCCCCATCCCTAGGGCATTTATGCAGAGGGGATGCAATTGGTGACACGTGGCACAGGCCAGGGTGAAGTTCCCTTCCCTGACTTCCCTCCCAGCCTGAATTAGGAGGAGCTGGAGGGAGAAATGGTAGCTAAGGCAGAGGGGTAGCTGCATCCAGCTGGGCACAGCCTCAGGCTGGGCATCAGGACCAGGGAGGAATCTGCCAGTCCCCCACCCCCCCCACCGCACCCCGTGGCTTTCAATCGGCCTGCAATGGTCTAACCCAGTGCTGTGGACACAGAGGAGTTACACCTGGATCCTGATCCTCACCTGGATCATTACTATATAAGGGGAGGGATCCAGAATCAGACGGGGTAAGGCGTACAGGGTCTCAGAGCAGTGAAGGGGCAGAGACAGCAGAAGGTCCACCTGGGGAAGCTGAGCACTCACTTTACCACTAGCCAGAAACCCTGACTCTGCCCTCCGGGCTCAGCCTATGGGCTTCTCATACAGAGAAGCTGTGGCAAGGGTCATTCTACCCATACTGGCAGGAGTCCTCCTGTGTGGCCAGGCCACAGAGACCCAGAGGGGCAGGGGGCACTTGAAGTAAAACAGAAAAAGCTGGCAAACCCTGGGGAAAATCCAGTCCTGGGATCCATCTGCCCTGATAGCTGCCTGCCTGACCTCTGACCTGGGGCCTCCACTAGCCATTTATGCACAGGGATGGCTGCTGATGGTGGGGATAATGTCCCGTCCTAGTGGGCACCTGCCCCAGTCTCCAGGCAGGGCTGGGAGGTCAAAGGTCACTATGGTGCTTCAGGGCAATGATAGTATGTTCAAGCTGCCAGTAGGGAAACATGTCAAAGTCCAGGAGAGCCTGACTCCCACTAAAGTATCACAAAAAGCGACAGAGCTGCACCCTCCCCAGCTCCCACTGTGTCCAGGCAGCCCCAGCTTCAGCCTCGGCAGTGTACTCCAGGCCCTCCATCGTCGGAGCCCAATACCATCCCAACATGCTCCCAGCACCTTCCACAGGATGGACACAGTTCCTGATGCCTTGCTCTTTTCAGTATAAACTGCCTGGAGCCCCCATCCCACCCATCAAGTTCTGTCACCTTCCACCTGAGCAGGCCCAGGGAGTGAGAGGCCTCCAAGGCCCAGGAAGGAGGAGGTGTGCCGAAGAGAAGTGTTTAATTGAGCACCTAGTCTCTGCCCTGCCTTGTAGGGCACCTGAAGCATTCTGGGCACGGAGGGTGGGGAGGATGCCCGAGGGACAGCATGAGAGTGTCAGAGGGCAGCAGGGAGCCTGAGGGACAGCGGGAGTGCCAGGAGCAGGGCCCTGGATGGGGCCAGCACAGCCTGCCCGCTGTTATGCTCTCAGATCCAGCATTTGTAGGAAGAGATCTGCAGGTAGATGGGCGGGGCCTCACTCTTCTTGCATCCTGGGCTGCAGCTCACCATTCCCACCAGGTTCCATGTGCTCTCCACAGGACAGGCCAAGGGCTCGCCGCTTATCTCCTGCTGGGAGGGATGAGGGAACAAAAAAGGTCAGGGAGGCCAGAGGTGGCCTGAGGTAGCCAGGGCTCAGGTCGGGGACAAAGGGGTGCTCTCACACCAGACACCCACTCCTTTCTTCCTCCCATTCCCCTCCCAGTTGTGCCTCCCCTTGCCTACTCCTGGCCAGGTGCCCTTGGAGGTGAGGGAGCAAGGGGGGGTGCGGGGGTGCTCACGTACCAGAACTGTTCCCCATCAAAGTCCTCTGCACAGATCATCTGGGAACTGAGGATCCGAACCAGAGAGGATTCTGGCGAACCTGTGGTAGAAGTTATCACGTTCTCTGCTGTTGAGGATGGTGACTTCCTTCTCCTGAACGGTCCAGAACTGGGGCCACACGCCTGTGGGACAGGGGCCCGCCTAGTTCAGGCTTAGTGGTTTCGCGGCTGTCTGCCACTGCCAGCCTTGTCCCCACCCTTCCTTTGCTGCTCACACGCCTCCAGCCCCTGTGCACCCCTCCACGGAGACCTTGGGGAGGGCAGCCTGCAACCTGGCCTTCCCGGACCTGGTCTCACTTCCCGCAGAGCTGGGTCTGCTGAGTCCATTCCTCCCTCAGCATCTTGGCCTTTGCCCTTCCTTCTATCTCAAAGGCCTGCCAAAACCCTCTTGGTCCGAATCCCTCCTTTGCTTCAAGCCCCCCTCAAAAGCTACTTCCTCCCCTGACCTTGCCGACTCCCTCTGGGTCTCAGGCACTGCTTCCTTCACTCCCCCATCCTTCCCCTTGTCCCTCCCCTGAGTTCCTGGGGAACAGGAGACTTCTGCCCATTCCCAGCCATTCCTAGGTGGCCATGGCAGGGAAGACAAAAAGCTACTCCCCACCCTGAGGGCTTTTTTTAGGCAAGGCAGCACCCTGAGGTCTGAGGCACCTCTCTTGGAGTAAGGGACAGGGTCCCCCTTCCTACAACTCCTAAGGAAATGGGCCCTTTGATGAGCCTGGGACAGTGCTCCTGCTCTTGGTACGTCGCTCTTAAATTGGGATGACAAAGGATCTGGGACCACCGGGGGCAGAGGGGAGCCATGAGTGGACCCTAAGTGACTAACCGCCGGGTACAGACTGCCCTTAGCCAGCCCCCCTGGGGCCTTCTGGGAAGCTTTTTACAGACACAGAACCCTGTTATTTTCACTTCAGATGCTTTGCTTCAGGTCATAGATGCCCTGTGGTATACTATACCTGCGTGCAAGCTATAACTCTGTGCCCTCTCTGCGTTCAAGAAGTCCTGCTTATATGCCTTGGCCTGGGCCTGTGGGTTCACAGACAATCTGGGTCCCCTAAGGCTTGAGTGGCCATGATATGCTCACTGCTGACCTCAAGGGAAAGCAAACCTCAGAGATGAGAGTCAGACAGGAAGGTTGGAGCCAGTGGGCACCAGGGGAAGGTATCTCCAAAGCACCTGTCCATGTTAGACCTAGCCTGCACCCAGGTCCTCTCCCACACCGCCCGCCATGGTCTGAGAAGGCTCCAACTCACCATCAACCCAGGGGGAGTCCCCAGCCTGTCACAGTGCAGATGGAGTGGTTCTTCACCTCAGACCAGGCCAGGCAGGCAGATGGGCCAAACATACCAGTTGTACTGGACTGGCCACTCAAGCTTGAGGAGGGCAATGTCATTGGCCCAGCCAACCCAGGACCAGTACCGACAGGACTGGTACTGGCTGTTCACAATGACCAGGAGCGCAGGAACATCGGAGGTAGTCTGAGCTGTCTAGTTCATCCACGGGCTCCCCAGCCACACTGAACAGGTAATACCAGGCCTAGAGGAACCATAAGGGGAATCCACCATCAGCTCCAGGCACCCCACCCCAGCCTCTGGCCCTTGCCTTCTGAGCAAATCCAGACAAACCACCACCTGCTTCAAGCTCCAAGCCTGCTCCTCACAAGAGATGTGAACGGAGCCCTGCACACACACTGTGTGGGCATGTCCTCACTACAACCCTTCATTTTATGCAGAAACTGAGGCTCAGAAAAGCCCAGTGACTGGTTCAAGCCTACACACCTAGGACATGGTAGAGCTGGGGACCCAGTTTTCTCTGGTTCCAAACTCTGAACTCTGTTTCATGCCCCTTGCTGGGCCCTGGAAGTGACAGAGTCCCCCATGCAATCAATCAGTCATAGCCTTGCCCTCCAGCCCTTTTTCCAGGCATGCCTCTGAAGTCTCCATGTTGGCCCTTAGGCTTGCAGGATGCTTCTCCACCGGTCAGCCATCACAGATGTTATCCTAGGGCCACTCCCCTGGTCTGGAACAGGGTCTGCCCCCTCTCTTGTCCCCACACTGACTAGACTCCCTGTGAGCACACATCTTCTCATATGCCTTCCCCAGCAACCCAAGAGGAATGATAAGCCTCCTCTCTGCACCCAGGGCCCAGGCCAGGGCCTGGCTTCAAAGGAGTGTCAAAGGCTGTTGGCTGAAGGAAGGAAGGAATGAGTAAGTGAAGCAAAGGATGTGGAAGAAAGAATTAGGACCTTTCTGTAGATAGAAGGAAGGAGGCCTGGACAATGACTTCCAAGCCTTCATTTCCTTTCTGTGGAATGACTTCCCATGACTGAGGGCCAGGCGGCAAGAGCAAGCTCCCAGGTCCCAGGAGGGAATGTGCAGGACTCAGCCCCCACCTGCTTGGACTTGGGCAGTTGGGACTGTGGGGGGGTTCCCCAGAGGGCACAGCTGCTACTGATGACCCAGCTGGTCAGATGACTGGGGCCCCAGCGACTCCAGGTGCATTTCTGTCCACCCACCTAGGCCCCAACTCACTGGATCAGGCAGTGGGCCACAGTCAGCACCCACTGGAAGGCAATGAGGGTGCCCGCACAGATATGTGTGCCATTGGCTTGCACACTGACCATCCAAGGCCACCGCCGAGCCATGGCCTCTGGGTCCTGGAGGGTGGGGTTCCGCTCATAGGCGAAGCCACAGGCTGAGTAGGAAAGCAAGAGCTTGATGAGGGATGGGCCCTGCCAGCTGCACCATGGCACCTTCCCTACCCCTTCCCTCAGCCTCATCTCCTACCTCTCCAGCCACCAGCCCACACTTATCCAGTGACTCTCCTTTTCCATGGGTCATCATGTGGAAATGATGCTGTCCGTGTGTGGCCTGGGGTTGCCAGTTTCAGCAGGGCTGCAGCATCCCCCAGGTATCCCTCTCTCTGTCCCAGTGGCCCAGGCCCCAGAGCCTACCCAGCCCACCAGTCCTGGCCAAGCAGTGTCTCAACTCTGGCCAGATCCCTTATAAACTCATCCACGTCTCCATTTGATTCCCTCTACTTTGGCCAATGCAGACCCCTCTCCCTCCTCTGGGATCCCCATCCTGTGATTCAGTGAGAGAAAAGCAGATGACTCAAGAGGGAAAATAGGCAATGTGGACGAATGGACGCATCCCGAGGATGCAAGCCCAGCAACAAATGAACACAGAGGCTGCTCAGCCCCATCAGTCCTCAGGGAACTGCAGCTTTAATTCATACCGAGGCTCCACTCCACACCACCTGCCAGGCAAAACCTAACGTCCCAGATACCAAGTGTTGCTGAGGATTATTGCCCAGACTGCTCACGCACTGCTGGAGGGACTGCCAATGGGTGCAGCCACTTTGGGAGAGTGTTTAAACTGGAGGTTACCATGTCCAACATCACAGCAGCCCCATTTCCCAGGGTTCCAAACGGGTTAATGGGCTGTGAGATAATGCAAGTGGGCCACGGCTGCGTGAGTGAAGGCTAACATGGGAGATGCAGTACCAGCGTGCACAGCAGAGGACCGCTAGGTCCTGTGGGAGACTTCCCGTGGTGGGTAAATTGTGTGCACTGAGTTCCAGGATAAGAAGTACTGGTGTGGGTCTTAGTGAACCATGCTTGCAAGCCACTGCCTGCCCTGCAAGTGAGCCCTGAGAGACCCACAAATGCTCCCCAAGAGCCATGCTGGAGACCCACAGAAGTCCTTCACTGGGGCCCGGCCAGGGGCAGGCGGGACCAGGGCTGGGTGGGGAGGCCCAAGGCCTCACAGGTGGCTCAGAGGTGGGAACATGCAGCCCGCCTCAGACTCCTTCAACTTTCCTTGCCTTCTCCTCACCAGGATGGGAGGCCTGGCCCACAACGGGTGCTTAGCAGCACCCCTCTAAGGGAGGTCTCCTCTCAGCCCTGCCTGCCCCTTCCTATTCTGTCCCTAGGGATCAACGGTCCTTAAGACTGCTCTGGCACCCTCTTCCCCCAAGGAGTCCACGGGACCCACCGGGAAGTAAGTCCATGTCGCCTTTAGAAGTAGGAAGCTGGAGGGCTGAGGCCTGCGACGAGCTGGCGGCGGCCTGCCGGGGGACGCGAGGCCCACCTGAGGGGCTGGGGGCTCTGGGGGCGGGCGCACCGTGGGTACTGCCTGCAGGTCCTCACCTGCGCCCAAGCAACCTGCCGAAAGGCCGAGCGGATGAGAGGTGGGCAGCTGCGGCCCGTGCGTGCGTGCGTGCGCGTGTGGGGGAAGGGGAAGGGGAAGGGGAGGGGGCGGGGCAGAGGGCAACGGCCTCGGGGCCCCGCCTGCGGGCTCTTTCCCTGCACCAAGGCTCCACCCTGGGGCGGCAGCGACTTCGCCGCGGCGCGCCTCTCCGACGCGCTCCTGGCCGGCTCCACCGCGGCGCTCCTATTGGCCGTCCGCGGCGACCTCGAACGTGCGGTGGGCGCGCCTGCGCGGACAGCCCCCGGCGGCCCCTCGCGGTGGTGCTCCCGGCGTGTGGCGCGCGAGAGCGCTCCTGGTGACCGGCCGCTCCGAGGCCCCCGAAACTGGTCTGCCGGTCGGACCAGCTGGGTGCCCTGCTTCTGGTCTCGCCTCCGCCCCCGCTCCGAGCCCCCGCTCACTCTGCCGGCTCGTTGTCCCGGAGACCCTCAGCCCTATCCTCGCCCGGTTCCTACACCTCCTCTCCCCGGTAGCCCACTGCCCAGGGCTCATCCCTCCCCTGGGGAGATGAAGGGCCCACCCCGGCGGTGGTGCTGGCGTCCAGGAGCTCCACGCGCCACACCTTCCCTTCCAGCCTGGTAACTTCAGTGGGGCGTGGCCCCAGGGCACTGAAATTAAGCAGCTTCAGATGTTTTCATAATGATTTTTGAAGATTGCATAATTTTAAGCAGCACACCCCACCTCCGAAAACAAAACAAACCCTCCATTGAGCGAATGCCCTTCCGTTAAGGATCCATCTGCTTAGAAAAGACGGCACAAGTGAGGTTTCTGTTCACAGAAAAACTGATGATAACCATGAGACCATTCCTGGAACACAAGGCTGAGTTGTATGTTGGGGAATACGGATAGATAATACATTTAAAAAGAAGTGTGAGGAAATTCTATTTAAAAGTAGTGTGTGGTAGCTTTGGGTCAAAGCTGTTGGAAAATTCTAGTCTAATAAAAGATAAAGTGAAAGTCAAGCCAAGCCAGGACATTCTTTTTCCAGAGACACCCGGGCTGGCCATTCAGTGCCCCAATCTCTGAGTAGACGGCAAATCACACCCACTACCCTCCCAGCTCCCAAAGCGCCAACCCAGTTGGTTACTCTGAACCTGAGGCCAAGTCTGAGGGCCACTACTGCCACACAGAGGGCGGGCTCTGTCCTCACAGGCTGCCTACTTGGGCCAGCCTACCCTTCCTCTCCAGAATCTGATGGTCACTGAGGCAGCTCATGTGCCCAAGGGGTAGTCACATCACAATTCATCTGGGCAGGCGCTCTGCCGGGCCCCACTCCCTGTCCCACCGTCATCCCCCATCCCTGCCAGGGAGAGAGAGGAACTGATCGGGTTCTGTAGACCCTTAGGGGGATATGAGGGGGTGGGAGAGGCCCACAGGTTCTGGAACAAGGCCCATAAGTGCAGGTCTGGTCATTGTGAGTGTCCTGGGAAGAGGCCAATCCTCTTAGGAAGACCTGAAGACAACTATTGGTCAGAGACCCAGGGAAGAGCCATGAGGACCAAGGGACTGCTAGACTATTGGCATGACTCAGCAGGAACATGGGGGATCACAGAGCTCAGCCCCATATTTGGCAGAGAGGACACTGCCACCCAGGATGGAGGGCACAAGCATAAACACAGGAAAGCCCCCTGAGAGGAAGGACAAGCCTCTGGAATGCTCTGGAGGCCTCTTGCCAAAGTCAGGAAGAAAGATGATGACTTTAGTGGTGCAAAATTCAAGAGTATCTTTACTGGACGATGAAACAACAGTAGCTCGCCCCAAGGGCACTCTGCCCCGTTGTCCTGCACTCCTCTGGTCTCCACTAATAAGGGCAGACGGGGCAGGAGGAAGCAGCCTCAGGAGCGACTGTCCTGGCAACGCTGCTCACAGGAGCCAAAGGGAGCCCAAGGAGACCAGGAGATTGTAGCCCATGAAGATGACTGGGCTCAGGAAAGCAGGCCCAGCCCTACTGATGAATCTCATGTCGGCAACCTGCCTCTTGATCCGGAGGTAAAGTAAGAAGTGCTGATGTAGATGCCCGGGAAGTGGCACTGGTTGCAGCTAAACCTCCAGCTCGCCAACCCCATCTGAATCCAGGTCTTGTTCCCATGGTAGAGAAGGGAGCTGCCAGAGGTACCCTGTGGGGCGTAGGAAGGAAGGCATAAGGTAGGCAGCAGGAGGGCCTCGGTGCTGGCCCTGGGTGAACCTACATCTTCCTGAGCCACATCCTTAATGTGAGCTGCAGTAGGCCTGGGCATCCCTAGTAAGGAGCCTGGCTATGAACTTGCTTTGTGACATGGAAGCCCTGCACGAAGGCCCAGGCGTGAGACCAGGCCCCTCTCTCCACGATCCTCCTCACTCTGCACCAGAACGCCATGGTCCTCTCCTCTGTCCCCCCTGAATCCTGGTGGGCCTCCAAGATCTTGCCCTTGACCTTCTGTTTTCCCTACCATCCAGCTTGCAGAGTGAGTTAGTGAAATGCAAACCAGCACCTCCTCTTTGTGCAAGGCAGGTGCATGTTTAAGGATAATGTCTATAACAACATACACCAAAAGATGAGGCTTTATTTTTACTGATGTTGGGTTTATGATTTTTTGAATTACTGAAAAATTTTATAAATCAGAAAACAGCTCTCTTTCCATACAGACATACACACTACACACATATTTTAGTGTAGTACAAACCAAGATTTACAGGACATAATCTAATGAAGAGTACGTACGATGCTTAAGGAAAAAATAATAAAACTATACCTGAGAACATAAAAGAAGACCTATGTGAATGTACAGATATACTGTCATTTTTAGATGAGGCAACTTAAAACAATGTGAAAATGTCAGTTCTCAGTCTTTGGCTTCATGCGGTATGGAAGACTAGAAATTCTAACAGATCTTGCTGAAGGTAACTAAATATGTGAGATTTTTTAAATAATCATTTCTAAAGCATGGGTGAGCTGGCAAGAAAATAAAGAATCCTCAGAATCCAAAACCCAAGGGAGGGCTGAAGCCCAGAGAGGTCAGCAAAGCCCAGGAGATGGCTCTCGCCCCCAGTGAAACAGAGCTTTGATTTTCACATTTTTGCTCATGGATGCAGGTGGCAAAGGGCAGAACCCAGGGCTGCCCAAGAAGGGAAGCCTAAGAGGAAACCTCTGGCCAAAAGCTATACCTCCAAACAAGGACCACACCTTCTGATTGATGATAAAATGGGAACACCTGCCCCCAGGTGAACTTGCAACTTGAATCCACACTGTCCGTGTGGCTCAGAAACCCTGGCCAAACATGTCATTTAGAGTGGCCATGGGCTGGCCATAGGCCCAGCTTTCTGGCAGAAGCACATATAGGTTCTGTCTGAAACAACCCCCTTTGGGAGCCCTGCTTCCAGGAATTCCCACAGAGAACACACTAAAGAACAAGTCCTCATTCTTAAAACATCACCCGTAGTCAGAGAAGCTGGGGAACCACATGCAAATGCCAGCCGGCAGAAAGAACAAGAGGAGAAACAGCCTTCACGGTTTGAGATACAGAAATTGTCATCGGAAGCTTCAGAGTTTCTGGCAATGCATATTTCACAGGCTTAGTGGTAAAGGGGTATGGGTGTTGGTTGTGTTGTTCTTTATTCTCCATACATACACAATCTCCATCAATATTGTTCTGTCTCTATTCAAGAGAATTAAAACAGTTAAAAATTACAACAATATCAGTACTTCTTACTTGAACCTCTAAAGTTCAAGTGATTCCAAATAAAATGCCAGCAGGACTTTTTTCAAGACCTGGACAATCTGGTTCTAAAATTGATATTAAAGGATAATAGTCTGAATTCTATAACAGGTTTGAAAAAGAAAGGCAAATTGAGTCAGGCTGGGGCAGATTTGACCTACCAGGAAGACAGATATATTTCAAAGCTATAATTACAGAAGCTGTGGTTCTGGCATAGAAACAAAACATGGACCAATGGCACAGTGGACAGCAATTCTGGTGCCTGCATGTGAGGAGACCTGGCACTTCATCCAGAAAGAGTAATGGGGGGTGGGAAAAGACATCTCTGTTGTAGACAGTAGGGAAACTGATAGGGAAAAATGAAGTTGGATCTTACCATAACAAAACTCCAGAGCAATTAAAAAACTCTCAATGTGAACATTGAAAAGGACAGCTAGTTAGCACCCCTATGTTTATCACAGCACTATTTACAATAGCCAAGAAATGGAAGCAACCTAAGCATACATCAGTAGATGAATGGATAAAGAAGATGTGGTACATATACACAATGGAATATTATTCACCCATAAGAAGAAAACAAAT